AGAAGGTGTTGAGGACCGCTAATCTGTTGTCCGTGGCGAAAGTCAGCAGCAGCTCACCATTTTCGTTCAGCTCATTGCGCCCGTACTCGCCCATGGTTCCTTCGTTTTCCCCTGCTATCCCTCCTCCGGTCTGGGCATTGGCATCCATGAGCACGAAAAGATACTCCTTAGCGGGGATACGACGCACGAGACTGTCAAGTTTTTCCCAGAACATGTGTTTGCTCTCGGTGGTGGCCACGTCTGTTGGGGCATACGCAGCCACGAAGGTCACCGCTCCGCGGTGGCCCATCATCTCAAACCTCATAGCCATGAGGCGCTCGTCCACGTACTCCGTGGTGTACTGGGAGGATTTGCACAGCGTCTCCTCCACAGCGATTCCGACGCCATGCGTACCACCCTTGTCCGTGCCACAGGTGAACACCCGAAAACCGGATGCTGCGAACTCCGTTCGCCCTGGTCTCCTGACCTCCTGCAGACCGACAAACGAAATGCCCTGTTTCGCTGCCTCGTGTAAGACGTTACCCTTTTATTTTTTCTCTGGGCGGGTGTGGGAAGCGTCCTCCTTTATTTTTGTTTTGTTTTATTTTGATCGGTGTCCGAGGGCTCTTTTCTCGAACGGTCGGTGCGATACCTGTACTTTTCTTCTTTCTATCATCATTTTGTTTTCTTTTTCCGAGTGGTTTGTACCCTATTTTGGTTTTTTTGTTTTCTCGCGGCGTCGTATGTGCCAGGTTTTGAGACCACGGGCTTCCCATTTTTTGTGGACTATAGAGCTAATGTGAGAAACAACAACAAAAACAAAAAGTCCAAAGACACGTCGGGAGATACCCCGAGGATCCACGCCTGTGGAACGGTCACTTGCACACTTTCTCGCTCTCAAACCACACATGCATAGTACTACCGCAGAAGCGTTCGTAAGGATGACATAATCCTCCTCCTCATGGACAAGAATAACTCGTTGCCTTTCGAGAGCCAGTGCTTACGTACAGCTCCCACCACCCGTTGTACGCTTTGTGTGAGGTTTGTCAATCAGTCCGTCGCGAGTGCAGTGGGCAAGCAACCGAGCTGCAATCTTGCTGCAATACGAAGTAATCTTCCAATCGAAATCCTACCAATTGCTGGAACCATAACCATTACAAACGCCTCCTTCGATTTCTGATAAATCTCCCTTGGGTGGTCCCACCCTGGAGCCACGTTGCTGCACCTGCCCCTGCACCCCTGCCCTGGGTCTCAGCACCCACACGCCGCTCTCAGCCCACGGTTCCGCGGCGCAATACGGTGCACCCAGCTTTACTCCAAACCCCTCCCTTCTACCGTGGGATCGTCAGGTGGGGATTGCTGCGGTCGATTACAATGTACTGCTGTACCCCTGCTGAATACCGCCGTTATGACGGCTGTTGTTTCTGGAGGGACACGCGTGTTTGGTTGTTTGGCTTCTTTCGGAACGTTTCGACCATGCAAGTTTGTGGGCGGCCACCCGTACGAGAGGCATCACTACCGCAACCAGCTGAAAGAGATTCCACCAGGTCGAGTCCCTAAAAGCTCATGTCGCTGGTCCCCAGCAGCCCCCTCAAAACAGCAGGAGCACCGAACAGCAGTCAACAGTCACAAACACCAGCGTGGTGGGCCGTTGGTACAGCTCCATTAATTTCTCTGCATGTTTTCTAGAGCCAACCAGCAGGACATGTCTACCGCCCTCTAGACATAGATTTTTCTACAGCAGTAGATACTACTGCTGCCGCAGCCGGCAGCTTCCATCGGTGTCCGAGGGCTCTTTTCTCGAACGGTCGGTGCGATACCTGTTCTTTTCTTTCTATCATTTTGTTTTCTTTTTCCGAGTGGTTTGTACCCTATTTTTTTTTTTTTCTCGCGGCGTCGTATGTGCCGGGTTTTGAGACCACGGGCTCCCCATTCTTGGTGGACTATCGAGCTAATGTAAGAAACAACAACATCAACAACAACAACAACAACAACAACAACAACAACAACAACAACTGGTTGGAGTCCAAACAGCGAAATAGTAGTCTCGGTGGTGCATCTAAAGTTGCGAAGTTTTGGGTAGATTTCTCCGCACGTGACCTACCCTACGTGTATAATCAGAGAGACAGATCACCACCTGCTTTTTTCCGCCTGAAGGCCAAATGACGTGTTCGCGTAGAGCAATATTTGGGCATAATTACCAGTTCGGGGTAATTTAAGTTCCTCCGAAGCAAATTTTGCCAAAATTCGCAAGGCTCCTCTCCGGAACGATTTCTCAAAATATATACACGTACACGATTGGTACGGGAATTAGCGAACACCGTAATACACGGTAATATGCATATTTTGGTGGTAGCTAGCCATCATGGTAACGTTTGGGTGGTTACTGGCCACCACGGAAATGCGCGGTAATAATTGGGTGGTAACCGCCCAGCACGGTAACTCCCGGACGGGAACTAGCCACCACGGGAATGCACCGTAGTATTTGGGTGGTAACTCGGCACCACAGTTATGTCGCGGTAACGGGCCACCGCGGTAATCCACCACGGTAATCCACGGTAACGTAGGATGGAAACACTCCACAAAGCGATGCACTGCAACTGTTGCGCTTTTTTTTCAGTGCGCATGACACCCAAACAGCGCGTTCCACAAATAACACGAAACACACGACGAATGGAACCTATCGCATTTCGTTTTTCAATTGTTTTGGGACTACAGGCGAAAACCTCACGGCCAAGTTACCGAAATACGAGGCAAAAGTCAAAGAGTAAAACAAAGAACTACGTCAGTACGTCCAGAGGGACACCTCGAAATATCCATCACTCGATCTCTAACCATATCTCAGCTACGTGAGGACTGAACGCACCAAACTTATCTGCCAGACGATGCATAAACCTCCAGCTACCACGTACACGCATATCGAGCTCAACCACAAGCATAGTGTACCGTATCTGCGTCACACCGCAGGCAAGTAGTTCAAACATATCAACAAAATCACAACATCTCGCTTTGCTGTTGCCTTTGTTTTTGTACGTCTGGCTGTCTGCCCATCTGCCGCCTCTTTGTCCTGTTTGCTCCGTTACTCCCATGCCCTGGTGCGTAGTGCCTGGTGCTGGTACGTTACCCTTTGATTTTTTCTTTGGGCCGGTGTGGGGAGCGTCCTCCTTTATTTTTGTTTTGTTTTATTTTGATCGCTTTCAGAGGGCTCTTTTCTCGAACGGTCGGTGCGATACCTGTTCTTTTCTTTCTATCATGTTCTCTTTTTCCGAGTGGTTTGTACCCTATTTTTGTTTTTTTTTCCCGCGGCGTCGTATGTGCCGGGTTTTGAGACCACGGGCTCCCCATTTTTTGTAGACTAAGAGCTAATGTGAGAAACAACAAAAACAACAAAACCACTCTACGGCAATACTCGAAACCAATATTCAAAGACTAAAGACGCACAAAGAAGAAATATATACTTTCGTTTGACGGATCGACAGAAGATTGATAAAACAAGAGCAGAAACGCAAAAGGGACGATGTGGGGCATCGAACCCCCCATATACAGTTAGGGGTGCCAATCGGGCCGATTTTGGCGGCAAAAAAGTGACCGGTCTATTCGAGGATTTTGGGAAAAAAGGGGGGGGCACCCGGATTGTTGGTTCTCAGCTCAGCTCTTGAAATCATACCGATCAAAGTGTACTCAATCCTCCGTATGTTTGTTCAAGAGTCCCTGCGTCCAGGCAGCGATGTGGCTATTCATACGTTACACACATCTGGAGACAGGTCATCTACACGTGACTGCGGGTTCGTTTTCTACTGACGTTCAAAGGGCGGGCGAACAACGCAGAAAACCCTATGAAATTCGGTTTGAAGGCTCACGCTCGTGGCCGCGTTTGGTGATCGTAGAACAGCGGATCCGCAGCGCACAGCCTCGGGTTTTCAGCGACACAACGCAAGAAACCGAACTAGAATCGCACGAACTACCAGCGAGAACCGCATGTCTGAAAGTGGCCAGTCAAGCACGCCAAGCACCGCGGTCGAGGTCCCCAAAAAACGCAAACGCTCGGCCTTCGGCGCGGGAGGAAAAAATCGATTTCGTCGCACCTCAAGAAAAACGAACGCAAATACATAAAGCGGGAGGGGCGGACCTTTGCCGACGCGGCCGGAGCAGCGCACACACAGCGCGCGGTCGAAAGGGGCGGTGTTGCCGTCGCGCAGAAAGCGCTGGTAGAAAAGGAGCAGGAGTTGATCGAAAGTAGACAGCGCGAGGCGGCGAGCGCCGCTGGGTGCAGCATTGCTCAGGAGCGTTCTATGTGATATGATTGGCTCGAGCGATGTTCCATCTGGAAGATCCAGGTCACTTTTTGAAAAATTTCTTATAGGAAATTTGACCGATTGGCACCCCTAACAGTGCCACAAGTTTGCAGTCAGCTCCCTCAATTGTGTGTACGGTAAATCAAGTGTTGCTCCAGTGCAGCGCCGGGAATTCTACATCTCCCCGGTAATTGCTTGGGTGGTAACCAAAAGCCACGGGATTTCGACATTTTGCACGGTAATTGCTTGGGTGGAGACAACGGTATTTCGCGTCCTTGGCGATTTGGATGGGAATGGGAGAAGGCCATTTGTGATGGGTATGGTAACCTGGAATTATCGCAGTAACGTTACCAATTACCGTTCCCGTGGAAATCCCGCGGGAAACTACCGCGGGAAAAATCCCGAGAGGAGCCTTGAAAAATTGTCACTTGATTTGCCCAGATAGTCTACAGAGATTTGGAAGCAAAACTTGCAAAGGAAGCTTTGCGGCAGCGAACAGGCAATGACCACCTCGAACGGACATCCCAAGCATCTTAATCCCGCACATATCCGAGGCCACAACCATCAACGTACAGCAGAGACCGAGCCGCACGATCTGCGCTGTGGGTGTCGAGTCATGCGCGATGTGCTCCTGGCGGGTTGTTGTTGTTGCTGTTTTGCGTGGGCCCAAGAACACCAACGGCTCGCCTGGGCTCGCTGAAAGATCGACACGGCGGCGATCATGTAGGTTGCTGAACATATACGTCATGTCCATGGGAAGTGATGAGAACAAGTAGTACCTACTGTACATGCACATACAGACCGCCAACAGGTGGGAGCTGACGGTCGCATCGCTCACGCCGTTGGACAAGCAGATCGAGCGACCCTTCTGCGGGCATGAGGATTCTACTACCTCTGTGCGTTCACGCAGGACGCGATTGCCCGGCGATTGGTTCAGTTTTATTTTTGCTGACTGCGCCCGCGCTGTCCGCATGAAATATGTTGTTATGCCTTGCTTACCACAATTGGCAAACGGCTTGTTGCGTGGTTGCAATAAAACAGAGACTACTAACGCGGTGGGCTGTTCGGCAGGCTTATCACACTGCGTGCGGTGGGTCAGGTGTCCGCCTGCCGCATCTATCTGTGCCGCTATGTCTACGTGCTGTGTGCTGGTTGATGCTCTGTGTGTGGCGGGCGATGTGGACATTTTGGGACATATATTCGATGACTCTTGCCGAGGTGGTCGAGTCACTGTCCGCAATGTGCTTTTTCCTACCTGCGCATACTTCTTTCTTCCCCTCGCTGCCTCGGCAAGGTTTTGCGTAGGCATGACCCATAGCGAGGGGCGGAGGGGGGGGGGGGGTG